CCCCCCCCCAATTCACTGCCCTACCCCCGCCTTTGCTGTCGCTATGTTCTTTCTTCGCGATAGGTTGTGGAGAAAGAAGAAAAACCGTGTTGCTGTTATCGTAGCTCTAGCGGCACCCGAACCGCCACCCGAACCGCACCGTCATTTTCTTTACCCTCCCCCACCCCAACCCGTACCATCCCGTCCCCCGTGACGCACACTAAACCAGGATTGGGCGCTCTTGCGGTGACCTCTGTGCCTTCCGCCCCGATCGACGGGCAGAAGCCGGGGACTTCGGGCCTCCGAAAGCCAACGAAGACCTTCATGAAGGTTAGAAAGTTAACAGTCAAATCAAGCCATCATGTTTTCTCTTGGTGGTATTGAGGTGAGAGACAGTAGTCATGTCGGTCTCGAGCTGATAGTCGTTGTGGTCTCGAGCGTCTAACGCGAGACTCCTGTCTTTCGCACAAGCAGGAGTAAGCTCGTCGAGCGAAACTGGTTTCACCCGTGGTATGCCTTTATTATATTAATGAAGCCAGCGAATGGCTGCTGCGACACTTCAGCACCCATGTGGATTCGCGGAAATATCTTCCGGTTTTGTTTATAAAACCCACTTGAACTGTTGGGGAAACTCGGGTGGGTGCATGTGGACCGAAAAGACTCCCTACGACACCGATATTTTCCACCACTCTGAATTATCATCCCCAATGCTGTTAGCTAGTAACAATCTCTCTTGTGTGGTTTTCCCTCGAACAGTATCAATTGGATATTCGCAACCCTTTTTCCAAACCCATTCAAAGCCACCAAGCTCTTGGTAGAAGCGTTCTTATTTTCATAGTCCAGTAGTGATGGAGTGATGGAGCACTCTCGTCCCCAACAGCCGTTTTTGCCGAAAAGCTACATGAAGGCCTGGCTGCACACCCTCCGCTTCCCTCGCTACTCTTCCACGAGTCTTTGCAGTAATAGCTTTCTTGTGCTGAGTGCTGGTCTCGTTGAATATAGCCGCGTGTGGGGGACTTTTGGGGGGGGTTCTTTAGCCTTTTCATGGTCCCTTTTATTGTATGTTTTTTTTTCATTGCCGAATCGAGTCAATATGGACAAAGACCCCTGGTTTCGCACCTCTCATGGGGGAATATGCTGTGCGCGTGGTTTGCCTTTGGCCGTGTGACTCGCCGTTGTCATCCCGGTCTCTCTCGCACGCTCCCGACTTGACTTATACCTATCGTTTGCTTCATTCCTCTCACCCATGACCCTTCCACCCCAGCCTTCGCCTCCCCATCATACTCAGATTGTGCCACACACATGCACCGCCCTCCTCATTTCGCCACTCCCTCCCCCCCCCCCCCCCCCCNCGCGTATTCTGCAGGACCCCTACCTGCACAACTTCGTCCAGTCGACGTTCGACGCCCTCAAGGGCACCGGCACCGACGTGACCCAGGGCACGCTGCTCATCGGCGGGGACGGGCGGTACTTCAATGACAAGGCCATCCAGATCATTATCAAGATCGCGGCTGCCAACGGGTAATTTTTTGTTTTCGTTCTTCGGGCGTGAGGGAGGGGACTTGAGTGAGAGTGTGTGTGTATGGATTGTGTTTCAACTTGCATGGACCGCCGTGCGTGGGTGTTTGTTTGACTTGCATCGACCGCGCTAACCGGCTGACCAATGAAACGACAGTCTTAACAGTGGGATGCCAAAACGCAATCGCGCTCTCTTGGCTCTCCCAACAAGGGGACCCGAAAAGGAGATTGGAGGACAGAGTCTGGTTGTTGCTATCAACTGTTGACTTCTGTAATCTGTGCTTCGCTGAGGTTTTTCCGAGGCTGTTCAACACTCGCCCAACCCCCACCTTTCTGTGGTCAAAAACTGGCACTGCAACCGCGCCCCCCTCCCCCTCTCCCCTCCCCACCTCCTACTCCTCTCTCTCGTGCCCTCAACTCTCTCTTGACGTCGAAATCGACGCAAATAACAAACAAAAAAAACTCGAAAAAAACGAAAACACCAAAATCAGCGTGACCCGGATGTGGGTCGGCCAGGACGGTCTGCTGTCTACCCCGGCGGCGTCGGCCGTCATCCGTGAGCGCGGGCCGGAGTCCCAGAAGGCCTTCGGGTGCTTCATCCTTACCGCGAGCCACAACCCCGGCGGCCCGGACGAGGTGAGTCGCGCGCGCAAGGGAGGGGGGGGGGGGGGGGGGGGGNGGGGGGGGGGTCGGCGATCAATTTACGCAGTAGGGGAGGTGTCAGCATTAAGTGTGCCAACCAGGTCAAGAAACCTTGCTGGAGCAACCAGGCGAAAACATCTACCGGGAGCGTGAAGTTGTTAGGGAAGGCGGAGGGGAACTGAGAGAAGGCGTTTGCATGTTTTGAGTGCTGTCTGCGGGTGGCACGGAGCGATTCGGAGGTGTGGTAACGCGAGCGCCGGGGTAGCTGGGGCGCATATGGCTTTGGCGAAGCACCTGGCTACCTCCTCGCGCGGGGAGTCACACAAGAGTCTGTAACACACCTTTTGAAGTTGATCTCCTGCGGTATTTTACCGTAGTTTTTTGGCGTGGTCGTGAAGACGAGCCCTCCGGGGACAAGCACCTTATTCCCTCCCCTGAGTCCCTCTCCCTTTGCCTCCCTCAACAACCGCGGCTGTCCCCCGACCCCAAATTGGACACCCCCACCCCTTCCCCGGGCGCACAGGACTTCGGCATCAAGTACAACTGCGAGAACGGTGGCCCCGCCCCTGAGAAGCTGACCAACCTCATCTACGAGAACACGCGCACGATCTCGTCGTACAAGTCGTGCGAGGCCTTCCCAGAGGTTGACGTGAAGGCCATCGGCGCCACGGAAGTCAAGGCGGCGGGCGGCGCCCGCTCGGTGACCGTGGACGTGGTGAGATCATGTCGTTTTTGGCCTCGTGAGACTTCGTCAGTCGTCCGTGGGTTCGTGTGACCCGTCGCTTTTGTCTTGTGACGTTTTAGTTTTTCAAGTCTTGGTGGTTTTGGGTGGAGGAGGTTTCTGCCGTGTTGCCATTTGGTGGCGGTCGTTTTGTGCTGGAATTAGTGTGGGAGATGCCGCCATCGCGGAGACGCCAACAACAAACTTGTCAGCTCACTCCTGGATTTGTTTGTGGGGAATGGTTTGCATGCGACGTTCAGGTGTCCGCCACCGACGAGCACGTGGGGCTCCTCAAGACCATCTTCGACTTCTCGGCGATCAAGGCCCTGCTGGCCCGCGAGGACTTCAGCCTGCTCTACGACTCCATGCACGGCGTGCAGGGCCCTTACGCGAAGGTGCAGATGTCGTTGACCGTGCTGCAAGTTTGATTTGTCGCTCGTGTTGCGATTGTTTTCGTTCTTGCTGCTGTTGCTGTCGCTTGTGGTTGGTCGTGTGAACCGCTTGTTGATGTTGCCTACCGCGGAACATGCAGCCACGCGGCTTAGCATGACTTGTGAGATGCTGAGACCCGCCGCGCATGCGATCGGGCCAGTGAAGGCGAAACAAGTATGTGAAGGAATGTGTCGGTCCGCAAATGTTTAAGTACATGCCCGACACCACACGACCCATACCACGATCGTATTGCTTCAGGCGGTGTTCGTTGACGAGCTCGGGGCAGACCCGTCTTGCCTGTCCAACGCCACGCCCAAGGACGACTTCGGCGGGGGGCACGCAGACCCGAACCTCACGTACGCCAAGGACCTGGTGAAGGCTATGGGCCTGACCAACAAGGGGGCCAAGGACCCCGAGAGTGAGGGCAAGAAGGTGCGTGCTTTTTGGTGCTGTTGTTGTTGACGTTGATGGTGGTGGTGTTTGTTGTTGTTGTTGCTGCTGCTGCTGCTGCTGCTGCTGCTGCTGCTGCTGTGGTGGTGCGGGCGGTGGTGCAGTGGAAGTTTACGTTGGCTTTTAGCGCACGGTACTGAATGATGTGACGTGTGGAGTTCGCGGGCGGCGGCGACCTTGAAGCACAGCGTGCTGGGTGTGGTGACATTGTTGGTGTTTGTGTTGCGTCGCTTGTGCCGCCGCTCTCGTGTGGGGTTTGTTGCTTGGAGCGACGGCTCTGCGGCTGACCAACAAAGAAGAAGCACCCCACTTCGCGCTCAACTGCTGCTCTCGTCTTGCGTGTCTTTGTGCGAGCCAGGTGCCGTCTTTCGGAGCAGCGGCGGACGGCGACGCGGACCGCAACATGATCCTCGGCGACCGGTTCTTCGTGACCCCCTCGGACTCGGTGGCCATCATCGCGGCACAGGCCAACTGCATCCCGTACTTCAAGTCCAAGGGCGGGCTCAAGGGGGTGGCCAGGTCCATGCCGACGTCCGGCGCCCTCGACCTCGTCGCCAAGAAGGTGCGTGTCTGAACTTCATCGCGGCGGACCGCCACAAACAGCCGCCGCCTGGCAGCGGCCAACAGAGGCGCGCGCCCCGTGAATCGGCAAGAAATGGTCGTCCAGTAGGCTGAGCGGTCATGTCTGCGGCTGAAACCGTTGCCCCATACTATGAAGAAATCTGAGAGGACAGAAGCGACCTTGTGTCACGCGTGTGTTCGTATGTTAGGAGAAAGGTTAGCAGAGCACGATGTGTATCATCATCTATGTTTTTTTGGGGGGGGGGCTTCGTTCGTCCCGCACCTGGCAGAGGAGCGCTGCTGTCACGTCAACCGCCGAGGAATCGGTAGCAGCACCCACCACAGGGTAGACGGTGGGTGTAGTTTTCAGACTTGGTAGGTTGGCCGTTCTTCACGCCCCCTCCCCGGAACACCGCTTTCATTCGATTCACGTCACCCCCCGGCGCGTCGTGAAGAGGTGGCTAGGGGAAGAGGGAGGGTGGCAGCTCTGTCATTTTGAAGCACGTAGAAAGTCTTTGACGGGGGTTTCGCAAGTGGGTGTCCGTGGGGTGTCGGTACCCTTGTTTGGATACCCAAGTGTGGGCACGTGCCCCGAGAATGTTTCTTGCTGCTTTCGGGACGGAGGTTTTTGCTTTCTGTTGCTGCGGCGGTGTGGTCTCTGCACACTCTGGATCGTGTCATTTGGCCAAGACTTCGACGATGGTATGCTTTGTGGAGCACCTGTTCAGAGCGCTAGCAAGCGTGTGAGATGGTCGGACTACGTTTTTCATGCACTGATGATGTGCAAACCGTGCTTAGTGATGCCCCTCCACTCTTAAGGAAGCTTGCCCTTCGCGTGTGACGAGCGTTTGCTCGGCGATTGCCCCCCCCCGCCGCCACCCTTCGCAGCAGAATACATGACTCTTTTCCCCGCCCTTGTCCACGCCTCCCGTTTCTCGTGGAACTCTCATCCCTCTCCAGATGAACATCAACTTCTTCGAGACACCGACGGGATGGAAGTTCTTCGGGAACCTCATGGACAGCAAAGAACTCGGAGGACAAGTGAGCCCGTCGCTGTTGGCGTGTTTTTGTTTGTGGGTATTGGTTTTTACCTTGAGTAAACATAAACTGGTGCAACCTCGCCGTCCTTCGTGAAATCGATGGTACGCGCTTTGGCGACAGGGCCTCCGGCACGCAATGGGCCCAACCCTTATGCTCTACCGCTGTCCATTAATGTCACGGGGATAGTGTGGCCCCATCATACTTGGCGACAGAGCCTCTGCTTAGCAACGACCCACCCCCAACGCTGCACTGGGAGCCGTATTTTCCCGCTCAAGCTTGCATGTTCACTCTGTGGAACAATTAGCCCTGGAATATGGACGGCGGCCCGCTGCCGGCCACCACAAGGGTGTGTGTCCAACCCGGCCATAGACTCCCTCTCACACGCTCGCACGACCCCGGTGACGATGCAGGACTTTTCGCCGTTCATCTGCGGCGAGGAGAGCTTCGGGACGGGCTCGGACCACGTGCGGGAGAAGGACGGCATGTGGGCCGTCCTAGCGTGGCTGAGCATCCTTGCCGACTTCAACAAGGACCCCGCTCAGGTGTGTCCGATTTTCTTCGACGTCGTGTATGCATCCATATTTGTATATGTCGACTGCCGTGTGTGTGATAAGCACGAATGCTGGGGGGAGGGGAGCAATTTAGCAACTTTGGTGCTTCTGCATCATATCTCTTTCTTTTTTTTTTGGGGGGGGGGGGTACTCATAGTCGTGCATGCCGTAGTCGTTAGACCATTGACCTCGCATCCCTACAAAGCCGGGACGGAGCACGCCGGGTTCTCACCGGACCAGGCTCTCACATCACCAAGCGCGAAGCGCCGTGAGATATTCGGCGAGTCGCATGAAGGGTGCGCTGNCGGAGTGAGGGTTCTCGACCCCGCACAACATGATCTACTCGACCACCATTATGGTTACCGCCCAAAAAGGAAACCGGAGGTAAAAAAAAAAAACGGTCAACCTGGTTGCCGAGTTCACGAAGTGAATCGGCTTGTTTTACAACGTCTTTGCC